CTCCCCGAGCAGGGCAGGGACGGGTGGTGCGGGCCTGGCGGCGGGTACACCTGCCTCCCCGCGCCACGGGCCTCCGCCACGACACCCTGATTTCTCTTTTAACTCTGCCTGTCTTGTACCGTTTCAGAATCCGCTGGCATGGATGGAGATGTGGAGTATGACAAAGGTAACGTGAGGTGGCTTTTCGAACGGACGCACGCGTAATCGCACACTGAGAATGATTTAATTCGTTTTTCTTTCCCCTCTCTCAAGTTGAAGAAGTTGTGGGCAGCCACGTTGAAGACGCTGTAACGTTTTGGGCACAGGTGAATTCAGAGAACTGTTTGATTTTAACTGAGGTGTTTGCTTCCCCTGTCCCGCAAGTTTCTGCAGATGGGAGCATGAATGAGAGCATTTGGTGTTGGAAAAGTTACTTTAGATTTCAGAATTGTGTTTTGTGCCTTTTTAAACTGAAATCAGTTAACTCTTTTCTGAAGTGTCAAAAAATTATTCACTTTTCTGTTGGAATTGTAGCTGGGTTTTCTTATGTATTTGGTAGACCCTATGCTAAAAAAAAAAAAAAAAAATTGATGGTTAAAATATTTGCTGTTGACTGAAGAATACCGTTGGAGCTTTGCTGGGAGTGGATCCCCAACCTGCTGACAGCTCAGTGTTAGGTGGTTTCAATGAAGCTTGGCAGGGAGACAGTTCGGAGATGTTATCCTTCTAAGTGCTGTGTAAGAAAAGTAAAAAAAAAACCCAAAAAAACAAACAAAAAACACCCCAAACCCACAAACAAACAAACAAAAAACCCCAAACCCCAACAGTGAGTGGTTTTCATTTATGGGTTGGGGGGTGCAGCAGGGAGAGGGCAAAATCCAGGAGTACCAAAGCTTGCCTTTTTTATTGGGTCTGCTGCCTCATGGATGTGTGCATATGAGTCAACACCTGCATGGCTCTGAGCCAGCTGGAGGAGGTAGTGGTTGTCCTGTCCCTAATATGAATTTGAGGAGGGGGACCAAAGGTTACTCATTATGGAACAACTTCTTCTAATAAAGGGATTTTTAGATGTAGTCATAGGTAATTCCCCTTTAGGTTCTTACCCAGACATTCTGAGATTAAGTGACTGTTTTTAATATTATAAGGTACAAAAAAGTTAACCTTAGAAATACACTCTTAACAAAATGTTTAGCACTGGTGTTTTCTTTCCTGCGCTGAATCCTTTTCTTTGAATTGGGAGTACTATGTTCTCTATTAAATGCTGTGTTTCTTGAACTGACCCAGTTTTACAGTGGTTCAGATACCAAATTGTAACTGGAAAGACTCTGCTGCCCTCAGCCAAACCAAAACCCACGTCTTGCATGTAAAGAGAGCGAGGGATGTGCTAGAGCTGTTGTTTCCTTGTATGAAGGAGAGAAAGAAAAAGAACAGCAAATACATATTAAAATTTGTAGGATCGATAAGTAAGATCTGCATACTGCTCACAGAAGCTGGTAATTAAACTGTTAAAACTGTTCCTTGCAAACTGTTTCTCTGGGGTATGTCACCTGCCCCTGATCTGTTTCATTAATTTTTGAGAGAAAATGAGAACAGGCTTACAAATGCAACTAAAATAATGAAGATTGAAAGCTGAAGGTGGGGCATTACCTGTCTCAACAGCAGTGCAACTGTTTTGATTTAATTTTTGGCTGTTACGAGCCATCAAGCATCTATTAAAAGTGACAGTTAATAACTCTTATCCTTTCTCCACATTTCTTAGGATGTCAGTAGATATAATGACCTCCTGAAGTTAAGTTATGCTCTGGCAGAAGTTTGTCCCCAGGCTAATGCAGTTTTTGGCAAACCTGATTTTAGTAAGGTAAGTAGGTTGTGTATTTGTAGAGTTTTTCACCTGGATGTAAAAGCCTTAATTCTGTGCAACAATTTTCTTAGGTATTTTCTTGATCTTTGATCATGCTGTGGGTTATATTCTCTTAAGATCCCTTTAAGAACTTCTGGCTTCTCTAAAGAAAATGCTTATTTTGGGTGAGCAAGTTTAAACATTTCTTGGCTTCAGACTTCAGTTAAATTATCCAACCACAGTTGGGGTTAATATTTTTTTTTTTTTTAAAACACTCATGAAATTCTTCAAGGTGATGTGCAGAAGGCTGAATTCTCTTTTGCTGCCCAGTACACATTATGGGTTACCTTTCACAAGAGAGCAATGCTTTCTCAGAGAAGTGATTCTTTGCTCTATCTTGTAAAAAACCAAAACAAACCTGTAGCGTTAAAGGCTCTGCACAAGATGCCTTATGCTGACAACAAGGATATATTTAATAGCAGTTCTGTGACAAGCATACAAAAGGCAATGGCAGCTTCTGGTTGTGTGTGTGAACTGCTGAGGGCTTATCGCAAAGTAAGGTTTAAATAAAACAAATTATCTCAACTGTTTGTGTGTGCAGGACCTTCTGCATTCCCCTTGAAAAGGAAAAAAACACACTAGCAGCAAACCCAGCATGTTTGTGGTGTGACTGGCTTCTTCCTTTGTCAGGCTTACTGGTGGATGAAAAGCTGGACATGAGCCGGCAGGGTGCGCTGGCAGCCCAGAAAGCCAGCTGTATCCTGGGCTGTATCAGGAGAAGCGTGGCCAGCAGGTCGAGGGAGGGGATTCTCCCCCTCTACTCTGCTCTTGGGAGACCTCATCTGGAGTGCTGCATCCAGCTGTGGAGCCCTCAACATCAGAAGGGTATAGACCGGTTGGAGCGAGGCCAGAGGAGGCCACAAAGATGCTCCGGGGTCTGGAGCACCTCTGCTATGGGGACAGGCTGAGAGAGTTGGGCTTGTTCAGGCTGCAGGAGAGGGAGGGACCGGGGAACCCTTACAGCCCCTTCCAGTACCTGAAGGGGCTACAAGGAAGATGGGGGGGGGGATGCGACACGACATTTTACAGGGGCAGGGAGTGACACGACAAGGGGTAATGGGTTTAAATTGAAAATGGGGAGGTTCAGATTGGATATGAGGCAGAAAACCTTCCCAGAGGCACTGGTGAGGCACTGGCACAGGTTGCCCAGAGAAGCTGTGGATGCCCCATCCCTGGAAGTGTTCAAGGCCAGGCTGGATGAGGCTTTGAGCAACCTGGTCTAGTGGAAGGTGTCTCTGCCCATGGCAGGGGGGGTGGAACTAGATGATCTTTAAGGTGTCTTCCAACCCAAACCATTCTGTGATTACTAAGCCCTCAGTGTCAATAAAATATTGTAGTCACACATTAACAGAAAAGCACGGAGTCTGCTCTGTAGAATGTCGGTGTTTTTCCAGTTGCAAGTTTTTATTTGAGCTGTTGTTTTTGAAACAACATATATTGTTATGAGAGGATATCACATGTATTACTTTGTTTTCATACTGCTGTTGGGATAATTACAGGAGAGTGTGAAAATAAGATTTGTAGTCTGTTACAAATACCATTTTGATCTGTGCTTATGTTTTCAGACTGCTATTCTTGATCCTGTTTTCCTAATTTCCAGGTTTATGGTGGCTGTTTTTCTGAAGATAGGTGTTGGTACAGATGTGTGGTACAGCAAGTGATCGACAATGAAAAGGCAGGAATCGTTTTTTAAAGTTTTTAATCATGTATATGTTCTACAAGCAAGATGACAGGAATAAATGCAACTCCTCCTCTTTTTGAAACTTGCTCTGTGAACTCATTTAAAAACAGTGAACTCTACATGTGGGACACAAATTCAAGTGACCTGTAATTCTGAAAAATGCTGATGAAAAGACTGTCAAAACATGACACATTTGCAGAGTGCTGTTTGTATCTCTTCATAAGGAGAATCCCGAGTGGTAGTTAATGTTGTTAAGCAATGTAACTTAATTTCAGAACTTCTGAGTGGTGAAAACAGCAGCCTTCATGTGACAGGTTAGCGGTGATGCAAATGACCTGTAAGAACTGTTGGTCAGCATTAGGTGACCGATACAGAAGGCTGGTCGTTCCTGTTTGAAATGCTAATTGCTATCCATGCTGGTCAGCATGGAAACATTAGATTGCATATCTGTTCACTGAAGAAAGTCTATATTGCTTTATAATTCTAGCCCGTAGATGAGGCAGAAAAATTGCCAGCAAAGATCTGTTTTGTTACTGAAAGTTTGTTGCAAAGCTTCTAGACAGATGCCCGCATAAGAGCTTTCTCTAACTTGGTCCCTTCCTCTGAAGGGTGTCGAAGCTTTGTGCAGTAGATTCTGATCTCTGCAACACGCACGTGTGTTAAAATGTTTATGTTCTAGTAGTGGTCAGCACATGTTTCTGTAGGCGGTTACAACCTCTGCTGATTCATGTTTTATATTACTGTTGCAGTGTCAGGTATTGTACATCGACTACGGAAATTCTGAGGTTCTGAATACATCAGACCTAGTTGAAATTCCACCCAACTTGCAGTGCCCAGGTGTTGCCAATAAGTGCAGGCTCTGGGGACTGAAGATATCAACTGATCAGAACTTAAGCATGTTTGACCAGGTGAGTGTCAGATTTTGAAGCATTTGAATGATGGGCTCTGTAACAGATGCTGTCACATATCAGCACAGTGTTACTAGGAGGAGTGTTCCAAGAGCTGAATGTTTAGCTATGAAGGCAAGGCATGCTAGTAAGAACTTACTGACCTCTTGCCCTGAACATACTGTAGAAACTCCAGTGGTTTTATCAAAAAACATTTCAGGTTGTGCTGGGACGTGACTTTCCAAGTATGCTTTTGCCATCTTCACAGCCTCAGGTCTATTTGGGATTGACCTAAGTTCTTTCTGGTGCTGAGGTGACAAAGCACCTCCTTTCCTTTCCCTTCAGAGGGAAAAACCTCCCTTGGCCACAGAACCTGTGGTAAATACACTTAGGTCTGTGAGCTGCTCGAATGCCGTGTGCCTGGGTACCGTACAAACTTTTGGTCAGGAGAGAGAATAGCAGGTGAATGTCAGTGGTAGTAGGAACCCTGTCATCCCTGGCCAGCAATGAACATGAAAGGCTCAGGATGCCAGCTGGACTGGTAAAAGCTTTGAGCCCTCTTCAGAGCCACTGGTGACTACTGGTTTTTACTAGTGGTGGTCTCCCTTTTCTGGGACACTGCTTACAGTCTTAATGGCATGCTTCTTCAAAGCTTGTCACTGGCAGTGCCAGTGCTTCACTGGCTGCTGGTGGGTTGGGAGCAGCAGTTGCTGGAGGAGGAGGAGGCAGGAAGCTGATGTCCTGCTTGCCATGTCAGTGTACCTCTATCATTTAGAGGAGCTCCTGAGATTCCTTGTATATGGTCTTGTCCCTGTGGTGCTACTGACATCCCTTAATGCGATTTCTTAAGACAGGTGAAAATCTCTGCTCTCAATTCCCTGGAGTTTTGTTTGTGCGCTTGTGGTGGTTGGTTTTTTTTTTTTTCTTCCTTCCAGGCGGTTCATATTGCTTGATATAAAGCTTTATTTGCTTGGTCTGTGCACCTTCCCTGCCCCCACCCCTGCCATTCTTAATTTTCAGCAAGACCAGCTTGTTTTTAGAAGTGACACTGCACAACTTCATTGTATTTTAATTTCACAGGGGAAGGTGTTCTTGAGCCACCTAGTCTTTGGAAAAAAAATAAAAATATGTCACAAAGCCAAGCGTGAAGATGGTACCATTATTGCCCAGGTGGAATATGAAAAAATAGATGTTGGAGAAGAGGTGGCCAAGGCAGGGTTTGCTTCAAAATGCAGATTCTCAGGAAACCTTGAAGATGTGGGAGAGAGAAAAGTAGATGTCATGCAAAACCAGCATCGGAGAGTAAGAGTTTCGGTTCCACTGTGGGTGAACCGGTCTGATCACGCGCTGTACAGCATCCCGAGAGGGCTTTCTGACCGAGAAGCTGCCAGCACAAGGAATCAGAATTTTACTGGAAACCGTGTGTTTGCCCCAAAGTAAGGCCGTGGGATGTCATAGAAAACTTAGTATGAGTGATCTGAGCAGCCTGGTTGCTGGGATGTGGGTATATGAAAAGGTGGATGGGGAAGTGAGTATCTAAAAATACAAAGATCAATTTCTGTCTCTTCCAGCATGTAGTAATACAGGTACTCGAAGGAAAGGAAGTACATGTGCATGTGTGCATGCTGTGATGGTAGGAATTGGGACGTTCATCTGTAAAAAAAACCTGTTTATTAGTGTTGTTGCTGGTTGGATAGCTTATTCTTCCTCGTTTGATTTCCAGACAGACTGTTCTTGGGTATCTTAATGCAAGGTTTTGGAAAAGAAGGAAGGGATAGCATCTAGTAAGCAGAGAACATACTGGAAATCTTAGTTGAAGGCGAAGCTTGCAGGACATCGGGCCTCCAGCGGGTTTCGCGGTGATAGGCAATGCAGTGGTGTCGTTGTAGCATCTGTGCAAGTTCCATAGGCTTGTCCTTAAGACTTTTCAGAGTTATCCTGTATTTACCTGTAAAAACTCACCGGACACAAATGTGGAATGTAAAAATACACTTACCTAGCAGGACAATCATGTTTTGGTGATCTGTTTGTTTAGGAATATAACAGTGTGCGCTTATAAGGAATAAAGCCAGCAATCACGGTTCGAAGTAAGCTTTAGGGGATAACGGTGTCTCTGCAACTTGTAATTAGGTTGATGAGAGGTGGTGGTAAATTGGCGGGTACAGTTGTTGTCAGCAGTCTCTTGCAAGAGACTTGTCCTACAGTTGCTACGATTGCCATGGCAACAGGCTGCTGAGAAAAATGTTTGTGGGTGGGAAGGATAGTACTCGGCGTTCAGAAAGCTGGGATGGTGTAAGAAGTAATGGTCTCCAAAAAAAAAAAACCTTGTTTAGAATTTGCTAAAGTTCCATAATTCGAGCTTCTCGAACATTTTAATGAATTGCCTGAGGGCATGCCGTTCCACATCCCAGCATGGTATCCAAGTCTGCTTTTGCAATTAGATCATGTAGGCGAGTCTGTGCTGTTAACAAATACTTACATGAAATGAGCTGTTCTTCAGATAAGTCTAAATGTATACTGAAGTGCCTCGTCCTGAATTATTTTGATACTGTCATCTGTCCTGTTTTCTGGGTTATAGATACACTCTGATCTTGAAAAAAGAAATAGCCTTTTTTTTTTTTTTTTTCTTTTGTGGCACTCATTGTTGAGATACTTTTGTATCTTACAAAGCTATCCTGACTGTAGTGCTAGGACAAGGGATAATGGGTTTAAATTGAAAGTGAGTAGATTCAGATTAGATATCAGGAAGAAGTTCTTCACGGAGAGGGTGGTGAAGCACTGGCACAGGTTGCCCAGAGAAGCTGTGGATGCCCCATCCCTGGAAGTGTTCAAGGCCAGGCTGGATGAGGCTTTGAGCAACCTGGTCTAGTGGAAGGTGTCCCTGCCCACGGCAGGGAGGTTGGAACTAGATGGTCTTTAAAGGTGCCTTCCAACCCAAACCATTCTATGACTGGCCTGAACAACTGGCAACCAGCACATTCTCTATTCCATTTTGTATGTTCTGGTGTCTTTTAATTTCTTGCACATCACAGGCATTTTTGGGGTGGTAATCCTGCAAAGGAAATTGAGAAAGAAAGAAACTGGGATGTAATCAAAGCCTTGCAGGTGAGGATGAAGTTGATGTGAGGTCTAGTGGAGCGTTGGTACTGTACAGTACTGTCACGGTGCTCTGAGACAGATGGCTTCACATCAGTCTTCTTCATTATAAAAACAACTTGGGGTGTAGATCCAAAACACTAACCTTAAAATGCTTTGGCTTATTTAGTAGATAGAAGATTTGAATTGCAGTGGACCTTGACTTTTCTGGGTCTGCAGTGTGGTATCGTAAGATGCTTTTGCATGAGAAAGACTTTTGAAGTAGTGACTGTGAAAACATACAAAGGATTGTCTTCACAGAATGTATTTTTTTCCCTCGAGATCGTAACAGTTTTTGTAAAGACTGGTGTGGAGAGGGATACAGATTCTAGAGAATTAAAGCATGATTGTGTAGGTGCTTCTATAGTCTTTGATGTGGTGTTCCGTAGTCATTACTGAAATGACAGTAGCATGGCGTGAAAGAATGTACATTGTGTGTAGTGTGGTTTGGGTGGTGTTTTTTTTTTTTTTACTTAATTCATTTTTAAAAGGGAAAAAAAGCCAGCTTCTACCTCAGTGCCAGACACCAGCTTGGAACAAATAAGACCAGATCAGAAGCTGTGTGAGGAAAGAAAATTTCTCAGAAGGGAGGAACTGGAACTGAAGGTTCAATGGCTGGAACGTGAACTTCAGGTATGTGGAAATACAAAGAGGATGCTCCTTGTTGCAAGTGTTGCTGACAATGCTTCTGTCTTACTGTTTCATCATACTGTTGTTTGGAATACAGAAGGATTAAACTGGTTGGGTGAAGACTTACGTTGCCCTGGTGCAGGGAGATGCTGTCAGTGTGTGTTAGCACGTTTTGCAGTCCAGGTTGGACCCTGGCTCCCAGCTTTTCCCACTCAGTTACCTCTACCCAAAACACCCGTGTTAGTATGTATAGTAACCTGTCATTGCACCAGTTCTCCATCAACTGAAGGGAGGATGTTTGCACTTCTGTGAAAACTAAATTAGCAGGCAACAGAATGTGTATCTGCAGCTAAGAAAAAATACTTGGATGCAAGGAATTCTTAGAAGCATTTCTTACCTATAGTTTGAGTCTTTCTAAGTGTTTTCTACAAATTTTAATTACCTTCTTGTGTTGAATGCAAGTAAACTGCTTTAGAAGAATGTTTTGCATATTCTTTTTAAATAAAATATTTATTCCCTGCTAAAAACACTATAGTAGGGAATGATTTGATCTAGAAGGATGATGTGTGGTGGTGACTTTGGGTGGTACTTAAAAAGCCACCCTGAAGTGACTTGGATGAGCATCCATGACTTTGGATGCTCATCTGCATAGACAAAACTATTTAAATAATTCTATGTTTGTGTTTGTTGGTATTTTGTTAAAATATGTAGTGAGTCTGAAAGGCTAAGAACTTTTAGAGACTGTGTTTCGCTACCTAAAGTGGAGTTTCTGAAAGCATCTCTGTGTTTTGAGAGCAAGAGCTCTTAAATATAGGTTGTCCCTTGAGGAATATAGCCTGATACGGTGTGTGGGCTTTTTGGGGGTCAGGAATATTCCTTTTTTGTCTTACAAATATTCCTTGAAGGAGGGTCAGGATGGTTGTACATACAGTGAGAGTTGTTTTATGGCACCATTTTGAGGTGTGGTAGTGATGACAATAAGGAGTTATTGAAGTCCTGGACTTTTATTTCCCTGAACTAAGAGGTAGGAATTTTTCAGCAAGTAAAGAAAAGATTCCATGTTGCCTGAAGACTTGGTAGCAAATGGGAAGTAATTGAAGTTATACACTGGAACACATCACTGCTGAAATGTGAGGAAGGAAATGAACTATTAACCTTTAAGAAGCTATTAAAGAAAATAGAATTATTCTAGTTGGTCTGTGGGCATTTTATTAGTGTTTTGAAGAGGTCCAGCTCTACACGTGTGTGTGTTATCTCTAGTTTTCAAAAGTCTAAATCATGGTGTGTATGTCAGTAACCCTGGCAGACTCTTGTTACTATTGTTCTATCTTTACCTCTCTTTTGAAACACTGCTCCAAAAACGATAAACAGAGAGAGAAGGAAGCGTCCAGGAAAACTAATTACATTGGAATGAAAATGAGAAATTTGGCTGCTAAGTTGAAGGCATTGAAAGAAGTTAGGTATGTATTTAAAAATTTTTTTTCTACAATAGGACTATTTATCACTGCCCTGTTTATCTCTTGAAATCATTCATGCTTTTTTGTTTCTCAAAACTTTTGTTTTATTAATTTTCTAGGAAAAATGTAGTGTTGTATGTGGAGGAGAGTATTTCTCAAAAGCAAGGCTGAAACCTGAGCCTTTTTTTGAATTTGGAATTTATGTTGCCTACTCCTTAGTGTTTATCAAATGAATTTGGTTCACTTCTCCTTTACCAGGGCTGTTGCAAGAAAAGCTTTTAATTCCATCTTCAAGGAAGATGCTAATTAGTAAATGCAGCCAGTTGTTAAAAGTAACTGGTTAGTCAGAGTTCCTTGGGTGTCTGTATTGCTGTGCGAAGTGTATCTGTTTGGGTAGCCCAAAGTACCCTTCTAGTTTTAAAAGGGGCAAAACTGCAATGGGAAGACTTGAAGCTGATGGTCATTTCTGTTTCTTTAAGAAGGAATATGTATATTGGCATAGGTGTTCATGGAAGGTGAGTAAAAAAAATCAAGGGAGGAAATAGGACAAAAGGGAAATTAAAAGCAGGAAAGAATTTCCATGTACTGTGTTGTCAATACTGAGGTATAATTAATGTATTCTTTGTCCTTCTTCCTTTCCCAAAAAAAAGATTTAACAGCTGACTGAGACAACTTGCTGCTGCTACCTTTTGAAAGAAACTAGATGATAACACGGCAGGTGCCATCTCAAAATTTACCTGTTCAAGGGTTCCAGATAGCATTGAATGTTAACTTCATAAGTTCTGGGGAAGAAAAAGTCCTGGTAAAATGTTGTTTCCTCCTTACAACTTAGACGCACCGATAAGAAGAGTCATTTTGTGGAGCAGCTCTCACAAGCCATAAAAGTAGTTACAGAAGAGTGTCTCACTGTTCAGTGTTCCTTGGAAAATTTGCAGAAGATTTGGACAGAGTACGACTTGGCTCAGGAGAGGATTCGGTTATGCAGAAATGTGGTAGGTTAGAACTCCTCTTTTTTTTTTTTTTTTTTTTTTTCCCCCCCTCAAGAGCTGTCATTTATGAGCTATTGACAGTTTAAGTGTAGTTGGACAGCATGAGCACAGTAGGGAAACATCAGTCCTTTGTTAGGTAGCGTTGGAGGATTTGCTACCTTTGCCACAACTGATGTGTTTGTGGAGTGTTGGGGGTTTTTTTGTGTTAAACCTAGACTTGACACCCTTGATTGTGTAAAGAAGCATAAGGAACACGCTGTCTAGAAGGTTTCTGTTCTGTAATAGGAACAGCTTCAGCTGTGCAGCTGCAGTGTCTGTCTTTGAAACCTTTTGTTAAAGCAGCATGCCACAGTATATGTTTTCCTGGGATGGGGAGGTGTAGGGGGAGAGGCATGCAAATGCCGTTGTATAGGAAGATGGACTTGTGTAGAGGAAAGCTGCCATCTAGTGCAGCTTCTCTGCAGCCGCAGATGTGAAGAAGCCTGCCTGGCTACGTAGACATGGCTGGTTTTGATAAGGATAGTTGTGTACTGGTATCTCTTGTGCGGTGATGCTGGTTTTTTGGAACGGGAAGGTTCCCCGGTCTGTGGCAGGCATTGTGGTAAGGAAGGGAAGGGATGGTGGTTGGGTCTCTGGGAGAATGACAGCAGATGTGTTATGACCATTTTCAAGTATAACCTAAACCACTTTAAACATGTTTGCCTAAGAAGTATGGGCGTATTACTCTGAATTTAACAGCTCATGAAACGGAAAATAATGGGCCATAACAAGAACCGAAGGAAGCTCTGATGTGGCTTGTGCAGGGATAAGTATTAAAACATCTACGGTATGGCATACATTTGACTGCTGTTGGTGAAAAGAAACAGTTCTCAGTAAACAAAAGGAAATAAAATGTTTAAACTTGACAACGTTAAGATAAGCATTAGTAGGCAGGTGACGTTTTAGTGTTGCATCTTGTATAGGGGAGCAGTGTGTGGAAGAATAGCTAGACTGCGAGGTACCTGGGAGCCAGGGCTGCTTTAGCATTCACTTCCACAAGATTTCCGTGAGTGAATTTCTGATTCCATGTGAAGTAGTATCAAGTTGCAGTTTTCTGGAGATCACATGGGGTGGTTGGGTTCAAGCAGGTCCATAAGCCTTGTTGAACAACAGCAGACAAGTAGAACAAAGCCATCCTAGAACTTGTTTTCTCCTCCTGTTGTGGCTTAACACAGCTTCTTGCTAACCTCCCTCCTGCCCCAGTGAGATGGGGGAGAGAACTGGAGGAAAAGGTAAGAAAACTTGTGAGCTGAGAACAGTTTAATAACTGAAAATAAATGAAATATAACTAGTACTAATATGTAGTGAAAATACTACTACTACTGATAATATGTAATGAAAAGGAAAACAACAATGAAGGGTTGGGGGTGGAGATACAACCGCTCACTACCTGGCCACCAGTTCCCCTGCAGCAGGGGCCAGAGGAGTCCCTGGCCAGCTCCCCTATCTTACATACTGAGCATGACCTTTTAAGCCATGAAGTATCCCTTTGGTCATTTTGGGTCAGCTGTCTTGGCTGTGTCCTTTCACAGCTTCTTGTAGGGAAGAAGCTGGGAACACAGGTGCAGTATCAAACTGAAAAAGTCTTTGACGTGATGTAAACATTGCTTGGCAACAAGTGAAAACATCTGTGACCAATATTATTCTTGGCACAAATCGAAAATCTGGCCTTACACTAACTGCTGTGAAGAAAATTAACTCTATCCCAGCTAAAACCAACACACCCCCCTTGTCCAGTTTTGCTTTGACTCAGCTGGGCTGGAGATAGAGGGAAAGAAAATTGTGGTTATGAGTTAGGATTGTTGCACACGCAGTGGTGTGACTGAGGATCGGTAGAGGAGATGGTTGCTTTGCTGTCATTCAGGTGGCAGTGTGTGTGGGTTGTTCCGGAGTATTTTTTGGGTTGTTTTTTTTTTTTTTTTTTTGAATTGCCAACCGCAGCAAGCAGCTTGAGAAACATCACAAAAAGGTTTCATTTCTGAAGGTTTTTCTGGTGGACTAATTTGTTAGGTCAGGCAGTCTGGACTTTGTGACCCGTTTTACTTGTGAATGGCTGCAATGAAGTCATGCCTGCATGATGTGTTGTAGTGTGTTGCACTGCCAAAATATTTGAAACACTGCTGAAATGAGCTCCTGGTAGCTCCACGTGTGTTTGTGTAGCCCTCTGTTTTGTGTTGACAAGGTGTGGCCTCACACATGGCTTGAAAACTAGTTCTGTTCAGAAATCAACAACGCCCCCTGCTTCCCTCCCACCCATTCTGACACTGTTCCTGCTTGCCTAAGCTAAGGTGTAAATGAACGGTGGCGTGAAATCTACGGCTATTCAAGAGCACGCTGCTGTAAAAAACAAAAAAAAACAAAAAAAACCCCGAACTCCAAAAGCCAACCTCCTGCTATCTGAGGAGGGGTAGAAGTTGAAGTTGTCATGGTAGTGTCACGATTATTGTAGACGGGGAAAAATAAAGGCGACGTGAGGGCTGCTAGATGTCAGGTGTCCCCCAGAGTGCCTGAGTGCTGCCAAGGGTGTGCAAGTGGGAATGTATGTGGAAGTGTACAGCTCCCGGAAGAATTAATTTCGTTTTCAAGATGAATGGATAGCAGCTGGAAGCAGGACATCTCAAGGCTCTGGTGGAATTTGTCTGAGGTATTTTGCAGACTTTGGTAGGTGACAGGTACAGAACAAGAGTTTTGGTGGCATTGTGCTAGTGCTAAGGTACCACAAAGGTTGTCCTGTTAAGTCACTGCACATTAAAACGCTTTGCTTTCCTAATAATCATCTTGATTTTTAAATACCTATTCTGTGTGCTCTAACATGCCACAGAATCTTGGCACCTATATTTTCTCATACAGTTCGGGATGCACACAGAAGTGTGTGTGTGCTACTCTGTCTGCCATCCCTACTTAAATTACATTGACTGTAGGAGGCTGACAAACGTTTTTGAGAGTGCAGCTGAGCAGGTTGATGTCACTCACTTTGTTTCTTGCTCAGTTGAAGTGAGGTACATGCAAATGCAGTGTACAGGAAGCCCAGTGAACCCAAACAGATGGATGAATAGCTGGCTATTAAACTGCATCAGCCTGCTTAACTCTGCTTAATCTGTCAACCTGGCTGTCAAAACTGGTTTTACTAAGTTAAATCTTGCTGTCCACCTCCCTGGAGTGCTGATGCCCTCTCCCGTTGTCACAAGCCTCATTTGTTTGTAAGCTCTTGGGAGTGAACATCTTGTCTTGCTTTGGGGGAAGCCTAATGTGAGTATCACAGGTGTGAGTAAACCCAATAAAGTTTGGGTGCAGGGTTAAATGGCATTGTTTTGGTTTTCATTGTCTGTGCTTGCTTAGTTGGTTTATGCTCGTTTAACTGTGTCTTTCCTGGATACCGTCCCAAAAAATGAAGATGGGTGACTAGAGCATTTGTTCTTAAGGTATTTATGTAATGCATATCTTGGAAACGTGAGAAGGTAATGAGGGAACTGGGGTAGTACTGAGGCATGGAGTGTATGAAAATAACAAAGATGATTCTTCTGGAGCGGGAATACTTAAAAATACATTCAGAACTAATAATAGAATTTGATGTAAATTCTGTGTCTAAATAGGAAGATAGTGGTGCTGACGACTTAACTAGTTCTCCTATGAAACGTTAGTGAGAGGATGGCAGCTTTAGAGGTGGAAAAGCTGAAGTTCCCCTGACTGCAGTGCAGGCAGATACTCCTAGGAATAGGCTGTAATACGAATTCTGACTTTTCAGACATCGTCAGTAGCGTTTTGTGGATGTGTCACTTAATTTATGATTCTGATATAGAAACTTATTGGAGACTTTAGTATACATATTCAGCATTTTTTGTGGGACGGATGAAAAAATCACCCCACTGTTTAAAAAAGGGGAACTATTCAGTTGCTCATTTAAAAAAGAAAAGGTTGGGGAAGGTGGAATAAATAGAATGGTTTAACGAGGTTGCTGACGCCTGAGCTAGTGTTAGATGTGACAGTTAGGATACTCACTGTTAGCAACAGTCATGCAGAAACTGTTTCCTTAGATGATAATGTAGTCCTGGTTTTATGCTGTAAAGGATGCTGTACTAGTGCAAGGTGTCATGTCATAGGAGTAGAGGTTGAAAAAAACCCCAAAAAACCAAACCTGCTTTTTCACTCCTTCCTAGTCAGGCATGTATTAAACTATTCACACTTCGTAGGGATTGAGGTGCTTTTGTATCACTTTCCATGTTGTGTGTGTGGCCTTGGGGTGTGAGTTGCTGACTTGCTTTTCCTTCTGCACAGGATGAAAAGGATAAATTGATTACCAAGAGAGATGAGGTGCAGCAGAACTTGTATTCAGCAGCAGAAGAATTCATTTTGAAAGTGGATCAACTGCCCCTCTCTGAGCGCTCAGGAACATTACAGGTGAGGAGGTTGCTTTTAACAGTGGTGATTCTGAAACACTGAGGACCTGCGGGGGATGTTTCTTAGACATCAAACGTTTTATGGTTGGAGACCTTGACAGCCGCAGACGGAGCTTTAGATCACACTTCTGGGTGAACGTACATCTGACACCTGTAGTTCTCAGTGTTACTTGTGATACTGGTCTCCTAGATGTTTTGTTTCTAGCGGCAAATTATCATCTCGATAATGGATTTGAGCAACAGTTTTTCTCTTGTGGTATTGTGTTTGACTAACGACTTCACAAAGCACAGAATATTTAGTAGAAGGCAGGTGTTAATGAGAGAACCCACAATTAAAAAGTCAGTGCAGTTATTCTGCAAATTATGGCTGTCAGTTTTGTGGTTGGATTATATACTTTGTTTAGATGACTGTTTAGTTTGGAATAGTGTAGTAAAGTGTTAAATGTTTAAAGCTTTTTTTTTTTTTAAGGTGAGAGTTAAACACTGCAGAAGCATGTGTTTATACCCAGGGTATCTCTCCTTCACAGCCAAATGAAAAACATAAAGTGGGGAAGTAGGGAAATGGGCTCTGTAGGGGCAGTAAGAACTTCTGAGAGGACTTTGCCAGTAGAAACATTACCAAGCTGGTGTTTTTTGGCCTTTGCTCTTAGAAATAATTTCTTTTCTTTTTAACCTCAGACATATTACTTGTTTTGATTTTGACACTGCAGGTGTGTGTGGAGAGGGAGAAAATGTTGGCAATAGTTTGACAGCTTATCTGTAGAAATTCCAGGGATATTTTTGTCCACACATGTGAACATTGGGTTCTTATGAAAAAATCACCAAGATTACCGGCTGCACATAAATTTGTATAAGGTTGGAGCAGCATAAATAAATTGAAGCATTCAAATTTTCATGGAATTACCTATTCAATTTCTAATGGAAATATTTTTCAGTGCCATTCAAAAAATGCTTTGATACACTTCTTGGTTCTGGTCTGATATGCAGATTGGTGTCTAATTAGAAAAGATATTGGATGGGTAGCATTTAATGGCTTTCTATGCCTGGAAATCCTGGGTGGATCATGCTCCTTCAGACAGGAAAAGGTTTGATGTGTTGTTGTGTGGGCTCTTTCTCTTATGTGGTTGGGTTTGGGGTTTTTTTAGTGTGTGTTTAAAGGTTATGCTGTGCTAATCCACTAGGTGGTAGGCATTAAGCATCTTCTAGATAATTGCACTGCAGTGTCATCTTAATAGTTTTTTTTTTTTAATATTTGAAGGGGAACTAAAATGCTGCTAGGTGTGTTAAGGGAATTCTGGGCTTTAGCTGAACTGAGGTGGTGACCCTCTTGTATTAGGAGCTAGAAGACCAAAATAGTTTTCCCAAGTAGGGAAACTGAAATAAGAAGTTGTGTTTTTTTGGTGGTTGGTTTTTTTTTTTAACCAAATACCAGTGAGAACCTTGTTTGCAGTTTTACAGACCTGAAGAGGCTGTGCTGTGCTGTCCTAGAGAAATGAGTGTTTTTCCAGTGTCTTTCAGAAGAACAGGAGTGTGGGAACTAATGTTCCTCTCACTGAGGCTGTGTATTGCAAACCTTTCTTCTGCATCGCACATCTGACTTCTATTTTATAGCTTCCAGTGAGAATGTTGTTGGCCTGAGCTACAGGCAAATTCAAACAGCTTCAGCTACAGCTGGGTCCGACTGGCTGGGGCTGACATAAACAGTTGGTGAGCTCCGTGCTTTCCAAGTGATAATACTGCATTGGTTAAGAGGAAGGCTGAGAGTGTGTGCGTACACCTGAGTTACCCTAGACTGCTTTAGAGTATGATCTGAACAATTGTCAGCTGTCTGTAAGCATGTTTCCCCTGCCCCATGTCTGGCATGTAGTAGCGTGGTCTGTGCTCCCTTTGAGTTACCACGCTTGAAGATAGCACCTGGGATGAGTGCAGGTAGGCTACTGAGCCGTCTTCCTATGGTAACTCACTGTCTTTCTGGTGCCTGTTGCTGTATCCATGTGCTGGTGAAGTTGTTTTAGGGGGATGTGTTTACGGTATGAAAAATAAATGGGTGGAAATAGGATGTACCATAGTGGATTACTTTCCATCGTGATGGAATGCATACAGATACTTCTCTGGTGTAATTAGTGCTGTTTTTGTAAACCAGATGTGATACTGGATATGAAGCTAACCAAACGCTTTGTTCTGTTACCCACTTTTGGCTGCTGTAAGATGGGCTGACTTATTTCTCCCTCCTTCAGAGTGTTCCATTTGAACTTGGCTTCTCCCTTGCTGTTCCGTTTTCTATCCATGTGTATTGAAATCCATCTGTTCAAAAAAGAATGTGAGAAAACTGTTGTGCACTTGAGTGACTTAAATAGCCTCCATAAATTTAGCAAAAATGTACTTTTTCTGTTTGGTTATAGACAAGCATATCTGCACAAAGCTCATGTCACCTGGCTCCGTTGGACATAACCATTTTAAATGGGCGGTTGTACTGAGTGAAGGCTGTTCATAACAGTAGCTGGTTATGAAATCAGTTGCAGAATTTTATAAAATACCGTTTGGTGGTGTGTTGGGTTTTTTTGGTTATGTGGTAGTGGTGGGTTTCTTGTGGGGAGTGTGTGTGTTGGGGGTTTTTTTTTTTTTTTGTGGTCACTACATGTATTTAGTTGTTAGTGAGGAAATTCTTATGCTTCTAGCCCCAGTTTGGACTGCTGCTGTGCTGGTCTGTAGAGCTGGGGCCTGGTGGTGGCGTTATGTGTAGTTCTACAAAATTGGCCCAAGTCACTTCCTCCCTCCGCAGTGCCTGTAGTCCTCGGCGAGGGGAGTTCACCCCTGCCACGGTCTGGCCTGTGGCGCGAGTGCTGGGCAGTTGGTTTGGCTTTAAGTTACCTTCGGTTGCTCCTGTGACTGCTGTGTTTCTGGTGGCCAGAAGGCTCCTGACAAGTGACTTTAAGTATCTTTCGGCGTGGAGCTTTCCACTCAGGTGCAAGGAAGGCTGCTTTCTGTACGGATGTTGTCTCTGCTGATAACTGAGTTATGCGTTCCTCCCCTGCCCCACTTGGCAATCTGTCAAATGACCTGAAGAACCTTTGTTTAAAAGAGATTTCTGTTTGCCCTGAGCTTTAACTTTGATGCCTTTCCCTTACGTGTGGCACTACAGTGTGTTTTCCAGTACAGGCCAAAAGGCGATGGACCTTCTGCTTCATATACTTCCAGAATATTTGGCTTTTAGATGGAAATAGAAGCTTCCAAACGGTATCAGAGGGCCTTCGGGTGTCAGATGTGTAGCAACTGCTGTTCCATCTAGGAATCAGTGTGATGGTGAAGGTGCAGCAGATTTGGCTAGTGACTTTTGAAGGGAGGCATCGATCCAGAAGCATTCCCTGGGTGTCTGGCTGCTCACCTTGTTTCTTAAATTCACTTTATTTTCTGAACTTGAGTAGTTCTATGAGCATTATAAATTGAATCCCATTTTGCTCTTTATCCTGATGAGTAGGACTTTGAAGTCCAGTCCATAGGGAAGAAGAAACTAGAACACAAATGAGCTGTTGAGCTTTTTGTGGTGTCTTTCTTCTGTGTTTTGAAGGGAAAAATCAGACTCTGTTTTCTGTGTGACATCCTTTTCAGCATCGTGTTTCGTGGTAGGCATACTGCCACTGGATCTGAGAGGAAAGTGGAATATGAAATGTACTTCACTGGATATAGAAAGAGGCTTCTACAGTAGAAATAACTTAACACAGAAAAAGTTAGCAGTACCTACTGGCATAAAATGTCCTTTTTTTTATAGGTAGTATACTGTTACAAAATTCTTCTGGTTTACAAACCTGTTTTTTATTTGATTCACTTGATGCACAGGAACTGTCTGCTTCTCTGGAGATGGTGTTCGGTCAAGGTTCTGAAGCAGATGACTCCGAGGAGGTATTTGAACAGTTCTTTAAGTGGAAATGTGTTAAAATGGAGAAATTAACTCGTGTCAGGAGTTATACGGACAAAGCTCTGCAGATACTTGCTGACTGGCTCAGTGGAATCTTAAAGGTAAGGTGAACAGGCAGTCTTTCCCGTTGGTGAAAAAGATGAAGCATGACGCCATCTAACCGAGCTTTGGAGGGCGTAGGCTTTAGAAGGGAACACCTACTTACAGCAGGGAGATGGTGCATATGAGCAGTGGCGCTAAATGGCAGTGCCTTCGTACAGAGAGAAAGGCAATGCCTTGAGAAACAGAGTGTGAATTTACCTTTATTCGTAGTGTACCTTTTGTGGTGAGCCTGAGTTTATGCTTTCTTAGGGAAGGATACCTTATATAAAGATCCGTACTTTTATGCAAGTGTGACTTGTGTGTGGGTGTGCGCTACCTGTGCTTTGTGAGACTGAAATGCTTTAATTAGTCTTTTTTTAAGCGGCCTTTGGATAGAAAGACTTTTAAAAGGTTGTAGTTTGTAAATGCTGCTGAAAGAGGTGATGAAAGGTCACTGCGAAGAAGGAGCCAGTCTGACCTGACATGATCTAGGTACAGGTTGTAGACATATCATAGATTTTTTTTTTTTTTTTGGTCGCCTCATTGAAATGCTGAACATGGAGAATTTTTGCAGATACGTTGTCCACTTCTATTTGCATGCCCTGCGGTATTTTCTGGAACACCATTCTGATGTTGTGTGTCTGTCTGATTTGTAGGAGGTTTGGAGCATTGAAGTTGAGTGTAGAAGAGATGGATGGTGGAAGTAGGTTATCTGTCATCCATTGAGTTCTGCTTGTAAAGAAAGGGCAGAGTAGGGAGGTAGCTTTGTGGCTTTCCTCTCTTTGTGCTTAATGTCTATGTTCTTGCTCAGTTTAGGACTCTCAATCTTCCTGGGAAGACTGTAAGCTGCTCTTCCTCTATTCCTGCAGGCCCAGCTTCCTTGATCATCTTCTTGTTGAACTTGTATGTGAATGTTCTCAGTTTGTGTCCGCATAACCTTCCTGACCATCCGAATTGTACATAACCGACAAGGGTCATGCCCTTTCCTGGCTGACGGGGTTTTCTGCCGTTGCATTTCATCGTACCCAGAGCATTTACTGCAGCCAGATGCTGTTACGAATAACAGTGTTCTTTGATATGACAGTAAATCGTGGTCAGCAGCAGGGTAGGCTTGGTGCATGTCATGTACAGTGTAATGGTAATGCATATAATTACTTGCAGATGTTTATAATGTCAGTTATTAGAGGGGGTAAACAAACCTGCAGGTGGGTTCCTGGGATTGCTGGGTGCAATTCAGAGTGCTCTTCTGCCTGTATGAAGGTGGCTGAAGTTTGTTACTATAGTGATGAACTTTGATTTACCTGTTTCAAATCTGAACTTTTCTGGGAACAGAGCCACAGGAAACGCACAGACTTTTGGCATGGGTTGGTAAAGCACTGGTAGGTAGACCAAGGAAGAAATTTTTGTTCAGTTACTTTATTTCAGCTTTTGATGTATAACTATTCTGTTGCAATTTAACTTCTAGCTCCTTTTTTACAAAAGCGTGAGGAATTGTATAGAAAAAATGCTTCTTTGAAATGTTTCTTCTCCCCTTATTTTAAATAGATAACTCTTTCCTCTCTTTCTGAATCCAAATTAATCTTGTATAGCATTGATCAGAGTCTACAGTAGGAAATGGGTCAATGATGGACAAGGAAACTTTGAGAGGCTGGATGGGCCATTTCCAGTATGCAACTCCAGGATTTGGGGAACAACATACTGTCTGAACATGCGCTGTTAGGTTTTTTAGTTCCTTTATGGTTAAGGCAGTAAAATATTTTCAGTCTTTAGTATAATACACATGCTTGACAGGTAAATGAACAAGGTGGAGTTTGCAGGTTTCGGTTATGACTGTGTATCTTGCTTGTTAAATACAGGACCATGGTTTTTTTCTAGTTGCCACTGTAATATTTCTTCTGAAGCTATGAGCAACACAACTTCGCTGAAAACAACATTAATTGTAATTATAAGCTGATCTTACTGACTTTTCTCTGGCACATTCTGTATCTTATACCCTGAAGCTAAGTTATTTCTGACTTCTGTGAAAGCACTTACAGTTTCCTGGTGAAATGTGTAACCTTGTTTCACACTTGATAAACTGTGAAATAGATTTGAGGATGTGTCTTTATCTCAGGTAGTACTATATAGGAATGTAAAGTTCACTTGATAGTGAAACTGCCATATTGAGCATCTTGTGTATTACTGTGTGGGCAGCACACGTTGATTTTTTGACATTAAACTCAATAGGAGAAGGGTTGGGATTCTTGTACTGTTTCATTTTTGGAAAAAATCAAAGTGAGATTATGAAAACAAACACCAGTCAAGGCAAGAATCAACTTTCTCCTTGACTGGTGAATCTTAATTATGTTAGTTCTAGAAATTGTTGTATCACTCAGGAGTGAGGCAGTTAAATCTAATCAGTATTTCTCACCTTTCCAGAAGTGCTCTAACTCTTTGTATTTCTTGCTTGTTTTTTCTGTCTGCATGCTAACTTATTCCAAGGCTGATAATTTTTTTTTTTCCCTTCTTTGAAGTACTTTGATCTGATGTCAGAAACATCCTCAGATTTAGAGAAAGAGGTTGACAATACAGATGAAATCCTCCAGCAGTTTGAGTTGGCTGTTTCTGAAGGACTGGATACTGACTTAAATGTAAGTTCTAAACCTGCCTACTGTGTCACGATTTCTATATATTTTACAGATCTTTGATTTAATTTTAAAGCTTTTCTTAATGTATCAGATGAGTTCATTATTTTCAAATATTTTTTTTCCATTAACGATGGAATTTCTCAGTCAAGGTTTTGCATCTTAAATATTGGTGGGTGTGAATGAAGAAAGAGGGAAATTAAAGACTGAGAGTCTGTGTAATTCAATACAGGAGCATGATGCAGAGAAGGACATAATTATGAGTGCTTACAATAAAGTTATGTATAACATTCGTCAGGAGCAAAGTATGATCACTGTCATACAGAACAGATACGTGGCCAGTGTTGAGGTAAGTTTATGCCTTATTTCTATGCCACTGATCTATACTAGGAACCCTTTCTGACATGATTTCTTTTTGAACGATGTCCTCTTACCTTTTTATAAGAAAATTCTAGGAGTATATATTGGTGATGAGAGCTTGGTTTGATTAAAGCTGGAGAATGCAGTTGTGTTCTCAGCCAGTGCTTAAATACAAAGATACTTTTTTAAAAACTGAAGCAGTGGAAGCCAGGATCTCTGGATTCATTACAAAACAGTAGGATGTAAGTTAAGGGGATTGAACTTTAAGTGGAATGTTAGTTTTCCAGAAAGTTGTTAATGTAATGAAAATTACTGACAATAAAAACGCTGTTCAATGGGAAAAGACTCTGAAAAGCTGAATTCAAACAAGCTTCAGGCAGTTTTTCTAATGTGTTGGACTAAAGCATATTCGAGTAGAATGCTTGAACATGTTCTGATTTTTTTCTCTTTTTTCCTTTCCCTCTTAGTTCAAAAAACAGGCTGAGAAATGGCTGAACAGAAGACCTGATATTGACAACTTATTATCAATCAAGAAAACTGTGAAAGGCTTGAAGGCCCAGTTAAGGTGGAAGCTGGTTGAAAAGAACAACTTAGAGGAAGTATGAAAATGTTACAGTGTTTGTTTTTTGTCTGTTGTGTTTTTTTAAACTAGTTTAGAAACATTAATTTTGTGTTGTCTGTTCCAAGTAAGTGGTAGCTATATGGAGCCGTTTGTGTTTTCTGACCTGACTCTTGCCTTAACTGTTGAAGTTCTGCAGGCCCTTGAGACCAAGCCCCAATGGCTAAAAAGCAGCCAAGTTGGTACATAGCCGTTTTCTGTTTCAGTCCCCAGCCATGACATTGTGCTTTTAATTAAGTCCCTTTGGTGGTGGCTGTTCACAGCATGAACAGTTTTGTTCAGCTCTTTTTACTGACCTGGTCGTGCGGTAAGTTTTACTTTGTTAGTAATGCGTGTACCTCCCCTTTGGTGGCAGAAGTCAGTGTCTGTCCCAGTTTTCAGGGTTCCCCACTACTCCTCAGGGAAGTCCAAAGAATGTGAATGTTACTCCAGCTGCAGTGCTGTTTGTTCGATCGCACATTAATTATTCTGGTGATACTCAAGGGAAAAAAGAACCTGCATTTGTGTCTCTAAGCATTGTAAAGTGGCAGTAAGTTCCGGGAGGGATTTAAAATAAGGCACGCTGGTGAAACCCACTGGGGAAAGGATTCTTGAATAATGAGGTGACATGAGGAAAAGGCCTGCTTATGGGAGAAAAATGAAATGAATTATGACACCTGGTGTTGCTGGTAGACATATGATACTGCTGTTATGATTATATGTCATCAGCTAATTGGGAAAAAAAAAAGCTCTTGACTTGGGAAGCAAGTAGGCAAAGGGCTACAACAGTTGGTCTGTCACAAAACCTAATCACTGAGAAAGGCGTTCTCTATTTAAGAGATTCTTTTGAGTTTCCAGGAAGGACACTGAGTAAAATACACATTTGAAAATATGTTCGACTCCAGAACTGTGATATGGAAGTTTTTCTTTGTAAATCCTGATAGAGCAGGTTACTGCTGTTTGGGTGTAACAGCAGAATGAGAATCACACACTAACTTTGTTACTCCTAACGCAGTCTGATGATTACAGTGAGTTTGAAATGACAGGAATGAAAGAGGAAATTGCTCATCTGAGAAATAGAGTTCTTAATGAAATACTCAAGGAACAAGAAGAATATGTAAGTATTAAACTACTTGGACAACTAAAACTGGTATGAGGCACGTCTGCATTTCAGCTGCTCTAATGTGTGCCCTGGGTAAAAAATGTGAGTTTTACAGAGTTGAAAGTTAAGATGGCCCTTTTTTGGTGAAACCATGGCGGCTGATCAGTTCTATCTCTATTTGAACATGGTTTCTTCAGATCTTTCCCCCTTTAAAATGGGGTGAGGTGGGGAAAAAAATGTGAGCTGTAGCGCTCAACCCAGAAGAGCTGCAGGTGAAAGTGTAAGCTCACTTGCTGAAGAAAGACTGTATTTTTCACAAGAAGGAGAACTGTTTCCTTATGACTAGGTTAAGGCAGGCTTTTATCCTGAAGCGAAGGAGATCGCTCTTTCTTAAGTCCTCTATATGGAGGGAAGAATCAGAAACCATTATTGCCCTGTGAGTGAGTAGAAGGGCACCAGGGTTTGTGGTGGCGATATACGTCCCTTTGCAGGCATAGCATTTCTGTGTTGATAGTTACCTTGCAGCATCACAGCTGAGTGGCGTCTGGAGATGCATGAGATGCTGGCCTGATCTGCGTTATCATGTGATTTCTATCTTATTCCTCTTACTGTAGTGAAGTTGTTTTCCTTTGTTTAGGCCTACTAAGTCTCTTGTGGAAAAGGAGAAATGTTTTCTGTGATAGTGCAGGAGCTGTTTTGGGTCTTAACACTACCCACCCTCACAGCTTTCAGAAATCTGTCCATATTGAACTGCTGTGTTCATGTTTTGTGTGTTGGTTGGGTGGCTTTTTATTTTTTGAGCTGTGGTGTGTGTGTTTCTTTTAAGCAAATGACAGTGTTACTTTGAATGATGTTGTTGAAGGTCATGTTGTTTTTGTCACAATCAGTGTGCATTTCAGTGTCGTGGGTATATATTGCAAATATCGGTGTATATTTATGTGTCAAACCAGTGACCTGAAGCTGTGGTCCTTGTTTCCTTCCTTTAGGAGCAGCTTACGTATTTGGCACAGGAATGGTTCCCTGAGTTACCACTTCTTTATCCAGAAGCAGGAATTCTAAACTATATGGTAAGCAGAGATTGTGTCTGAACACACTGTCAGTTACTGCTTTGGGCACTATCAAGAGTCCTCTCTGCACGGTCTCTGTCCTTCTGGGTGGCATATACCCTGAGTATTGTTTGTGGTGGTGGTTTCCCTTCTCCCCTTCTTCTAGAGGACGTTCAAGTAATACTTTTCATTAGCTGCCTCATCATAGTCAGCCTCTTGGTAACAGACGCTCTAACTTTTTAACGTGTCCCAGCTGGTGTTGTGCTTTGCTAAGTTGATTGGGGAAGAGGAGAGGTCGTCAAAGCCCCTGAGTCTTACCAGCTGTTAAATGCCGTGCACTTAACGATGAATATCTGCCTGTGCATGTGCTTCAGAACTCTGGTGGACTTGTGACACGCAGCCTGGAGCGAGACCTTTTGGATACTGAGCCCATGAAGGAACTGAGCATGAAGCGACCTTTAATGTGTTCGGAAATTCAAGGCCAGAAGGTTCTTTTAAAGGTAATGTTGGCACTGGCTTTCAGTTAGTGCTTCAGGTGTGGCTTTGGCTTATTAACGTCCTGTTTCTGAATGAACTCTGTTCCTTTCATACCCCTGTGTTTAACAGCCCTTTTCCAATTGCAGTTTTCTGTGTTGGGGCCTGTAGAACATGAAGCATTGTTTTCCTCTTGAATTGCTTCCATGTTGCTTGCTGGTTCCCCCACCCCCCAACTTGTTTTGAGGACTGCTGTTGTGAGCAGTGCTTCACCCCTACCTCCTGTTCTTTCGGGTATCTGGTGGACCTTTTTTCCTGTTCATTACTCCTTTCTCTTTTTGCAGATGCTGGTTTGTCTTCCTTATGATTTCACTGAGAAATTTCAGGAACTGTTGCTTTTCCTTTGCTCTGCTTCTCTACCAATCTGCTGGCAATTGGGAAACCAGGGGAAGTAGTGTTATGAGAGCCACAGTTGTAAATATTCTTCTTGCTTTTGACTCTGCTTATTTTAATCTCAAATCAAAGAGACACTCCCTGTTTTGTTGGTATGGACTTTCTGAGGCGTGATAATAAAATAAGGGAACAATCTATGACAGTTGGAATCGAGCTTTGTGTTAACTAGAAGAGGAAATTGTTTGATGGTATCTAACAGTTTGTGTTTCTTGCGTTTAACTTTTTTTTTTTTAACTGATGTTACAGTCATTAGGAGTAATAGCTTGGTTATCTGTTCTGTTTTTAAGGGATACTATGTAGATGTAAGCGCAGAAGCCAAAGTGATAGAAAGAGTTGCCAAGTATTACAGAGCTTGGGATCAGCAGAAGGAGAAATCTGGATTATTACAACTCTTGTTCCTTCTTTTCTGCAAGGCAAGATTCAAATTGATGATCTTGATTTCTGGTTTAAGCTGAAGGAATTGCAGTTGGACCTTAAAGCTTTGATATATTTTAAGTTGGAGCACTGAGTCAGAATAACGCTTCCTTTCTGAGTTTAGATAAACAGTCTACTTAGTAAACAGAATGAATTGATTAACATGTACTGGATGGGTATTCCTGATATTTTCAACAATCTATTTTTCCTTTTTTTTTTTTTCCCCTGTTGTTGTTGAAGTCTGATCCTTTGGTATATTTAATGGTCCCCTACTACCCAGGAGCAAGTCTGGGAGCTTTACAGGCTGATACACCTTTAACTTTAGAAGTAAGTATAATGAAAGACTGTCAGCATTTTATTTTGTGTGGTTTTGAACTGAATTCTTATTGTTTTGCTGTATCTTACGGTGCTGATGGTGTTTCACCATTGTGCTTCCTTTGGTGGGTGGTGGTGACTGTACAGAATTGCACAGGATAGCGTGACTGACGTTCTTGGCTTCTGGTCAGGCAGTAGTTTTATAACTTTCTAAAGGTTCTGTTTGTATGACTTGAAGCTTCTGTTTGCTGCTTTTTTTTCTGCCTGACTGCAAGCCATAATAATCTTACTGGGAATTAATCCATGCTTCATTGTTATGGCATGAACTTTGAAACTGTACAAACTTTAAAAAGTCTTGCTTCCAGTTAGAAACTTACTTCATACTGTGCTTTTGTTGTTTTCCATACCTGTTTTTGTATTAAACACCCCATTAGGAGGCATTACAAGTGATGAAAGGAGTGGCCCAAGGTCTACACACATTGCATGGAGCTAATATAGTACATGGATCTCTGCATGGAAGTAATGTTTTTGCTGTGAATCGAAAACAAGGAATTGTTGGAGACTTTGATTTCACAAAATCAGAGGTAAAAATAAAAATCCTGTGGTGAGTTTGAGTCAGAATTACATATCAAACCAGACAACTGTGTTTGCAGTTCAGAAGATTTATTGATAAATGTAGTGCTTAGCAGTGAGACTCCTGTTTCATATTCTGAACAGGGCTGGGCAGTTTGAGTCTAATTGAAATTTTTGTGAACTTAATCTAAATCTTGAAAGGGAAAAGAATTACCGAAGGTGGGCTCTGCTTAAGCAAACCTGTGGAACAAGAAAAGATAGAGAAGTTGGTAGAGTTGTGTGTTGGCTGTCTGTCTTGTGTGTTGTAATGGTAATCAGCATCATCAGAGGTGAGAGTAAGAACTGGCGTTTGAAGAAGAGTTAGTCAAGCCCATATGAAGCCTTTGCCTTTCTGTTTGGTAGGTAATGGGGTTCTTGCATGTGTGTTCATCTGTTGTAAAATCTTGTTAATTTACCAAATACCACATGTTGCCTACACATACCTGTATTTTTGTGTACTTCTGATTTAGTCCTCAGTTTCTGTAGTAGAGAATTTCATAGTTGTGTTTGGGGGAAAATCTAATATTCTTTAAGAATATGAGCAATTTTCTTACTGTTGATTTGAGTTTGCATAGCAAAGTCTCCAATAATGGTATCTATTCTGTAGTCATCTTTGACTTTCTAAACTCAAGTTGTTTGAGCTGAAACATAAAATCACAGAATTGTTTGGGTTGGAAGGGACCTTAAAGACCATCTAGTTCCAACCCCCCTGCCATGGGCAGAGACACCTTCCACTAGACCAGGTTGCTCAAAGCCTCATCCAGCCTGGCCTTGAACACTTCCAGGGATGGTGAATCCACAGCTTCTCTGGGCAACCTGTGCCAGTGCCTCACCACCTGCTCCAGGAAGAACTTCCTGATTTTGGTGCTAGAGGTCTGCTTCATGATTACTTAATTTTATAATAGGTTATTATATTAATGTAATAAACATACTATAAACTAAGTTTAATTGTGACCCCTTATTTCATGGACATGCGTTATCTGTTAATCTCATGAGGAGTGTCTAATGTTTGGACAGCAGGGCGTGCTTCCCTTGAAATAAAGTTCAGTTTTCAATACACTGAAGAGGTGCTTCAGAAATCTGACAGCTGAATTTTCTGAAAGGTTGCAGTCAGTACAGATGGTGTCATTGTGAAAATTGCAAGGGCTGAGGAAGACTATCCCTTTCTTTGCTCCTCCCTGCCGGTATGGGCTGTGCTGAAAGGAGCAGCTCGTGTAATAGAGCGGGAAAGTTCCACCCATGGTTCACAGCCTAGATCCGGTTAGTGCCTTCTCTGTCAGGGTTTTGGTACTGCACAGTGCTTGTATGTTCAGCGTGGTCACAGATGCAGGAGTGGAGCTCATGACTGAGATGTTACCGAGTAGTCTTCTCCAGGCTGGCTATAGCTGGTGCTGGCTGCTGTCATGGCAAGGGATAGAAACTCAGGTCTGGCTTTTAATTTGACACTAGGCAGTCCTAAAATATGCTGGAAACCAGGAAGGAGAAAGCAAGTAGTTGCAGGTAAAGACCAGAAGGGCAAAGAAGAAAAAATAGGAAAGCTGGCAGAACTGAACTTTAGAACTAAAGTTCTCCAACATAGTGCCAAATGTCTTCTTCATATTTGTGTTTTTATTCCTAATTTGAGAAGTTCTGCAATTTGTATTCTTTACCACCCTCTAAGCTTTAAGAATTGTAATACGGAGTAAAATCTTCCATCCCTGTTCTTCTCTTAGAGTTACAGACGATAGGTGTGTGACACCTATTTTTACTTTACATGAATGTGGTGTTTTTTTTTGTTTGGTTTTTTTTAAATCAGTAAAGTTGGTTTTTACATTTCAGTCTAGGTCAGCACAGAACTCTGTGGTAAAGTTGCCTGACACATTAAAAGAGAGAGGGAGGCACATCTGTCTCCATGTGCTGTATGTCTTGCTTGAAATTACAGATTCAGTTTTTTTTCCCCATAGGAGGAACGTGCTGCTGCAAACACTATGGTGGTCAGTACCCTGAGCTTAGTTTCTCCTGAACTGAAGATGGGACAGCCAGCTTCTCCAGCCTCGGACATGTATGCTTATGGCTGCCTTCTGCTCTGGGTATGTTACAGCTTGGGGAGAGTTTCTGGTAATGTTATGGAACTGCAGCAGCCCTATAAAGAGCAGTAAATGTTGTCTCTGACTTCTGCTTTGAGCTATTTTGGCAAAGTAAGTGTTCATATTTCAACTGAGTGATAGGTGTGGAACGAATGGGAGTTACGATTATGGGCAGAAGACTGCGTTTTTCTGTGAAATGTACTATGTAATTTGTATAGTAATATGAACAAAACACGCTTTCTTTCCTCATTCTGTGGATAGTCAGTTCTTACTGCACCCCTTATTCTTTGCAAGACTTCTCGCTTGTGATCTTGCCTCTGAGGAACTACCCAAGTCAAAACAGATAAGATGAAGGCAAGAGGGGGACTGTCATACGATTTGTTTCTGGTGACAGTGCTTAGATAGGTGTTTCGTTTCTTAGTGTGTGTTATGCTGGAGAGGAGAAAGCAATCTGCCCTCCTGTGTTAGGTAGTATATTGCACAGTATCTCCTCCATCTCTTTCTTGTCTTTGTGCACTGTACTGCTGCCTCCCCACTTCAGGGAGCCAGTGCCATGTGTTCTGAATGGGAAGACCTCAAATCTCGCAGACTTGAAAAGTCACAAGCTACCCAGCAGCTGCTGCTCCCAGGCAGTGATTTTGCATGAGTGCTTGATATATTGGAATTGGTTCACTGGGTACCGGTTGAAGCTCCAGGTACATGTGCATCTTCCTGGGAAACCCTAGCAGTTCCATCAGCTGCAGAGTGATGGCTTCGGTAACCCCTTGCGTGCTGTAGCATCTTCAAAAACACTAACAGATGTAAGTGTTGATAGGTAGCTACTGCCAGTTACCTGCGCTGAGAAGATGAAGCTGGTTCATATAAAAGTCAGTCTTCATTATGTTTTGTTACCACTTTAGGAAGCAGTTGCTTAGAATTAGTTAAATTTTCCTACTGAAACAGATGAAGTGTAGCTTAATATCATAAATGTTTATAACTTATTAATGTGTTATGGTTTAGTTAGAATACTTTCAGTACCACTATTCAGATCTTCATCTGTTCTAGAAAAAAGGGTTTTACAAGTAAATGTGAGTAAAAGTTAAAGAGAAGAAATAAAGACAGTTTTACAAATGGCTTGCTCAGCTTGAGGAGAACATCTGGGTTGCAGCAAGATCAGCATTCTTCTGGAGCCTCATCCAAGTTTGCCAGCTGAATTTTGGATTAATTCACATGTAACTAATCTTCAGTTAGGCCTTGGTGTTGTATTGATCATTTGGTGGAAAATTCTAGCTCAGGTGTTAGTATTATGTTCAGCAGTTGCCAGTTTCATGTTGGGCATCTGAAATTGTCTTCTCTCTCATTAAACAGCAGTGTCACTTCTAAAATTGAGACAGTGGTTTTCAAAGTTCTCTGCTGATCTGTATCCCAAGCAGCTCAGCACTGACCAAACGTGATTCCTTTTGATGTCTGTGTAATTGTTCAGAATAGAGACATTTTCAGCTTAACCCGCAGGCAGCGTTTTGAAAAATGCTGTACTCGGGCATGGTTCTAGGCAATAGTAAAGACTGGGGGAATTTTACTTTGTTTATGGGTACAGGGTTCCCATTTATCTGTTAGAGTGCACTTACCCCTCAGCCTTCCTTAAAGAGGTTTATGTAATTAAGCATACAGCTTGGACATGGACTTTGAGTTGTATTTTCAAAAGTCCATTTCTTTTAACCTCTAAAAGATTCTGATATTAATTTTTTTCCTTATTTCTGTGTAGGGGAATTTGAGCCCCTTGCATGTTTTAGCCTACTGTGAAATCAGGGAAAAAAGCTCTTCCCCTGCCATTGTGCCTTAACAAATTATTTTTCACTTGAAATATGGGATCTCCTTGACAGATGTTTGGTTTTGTTAAACTAGAGGGAAGAAACCCAGTAGCGTTATGCATTATGTATCTCTTCATTTACAGCTTTGTGTTCAAAACCAGGAGTTTGGCATAAAAGAAGACGGAACACCTGATGTGGATGTGGTTGTCATGGTATGTTAATTGTCAGATGAGGAAGATCAGATTGCTCTTGTTTAGAGGTGGTTAATCAATATTTTGTTAAGTCAAACATTTCATTGTAAGTGTTGGGTTCAGGAAATGTTTTTATTTGACTATTTGGACAATTCTAAATAGCATGCACAGATAAAATGATGTTTGAGAAAGCAGAAAACCCCAGAGTTCTCTTAATATTTAACTCTGACCTCAGGAGCAGCAGCTTCTTCACAGATATATCTTAATTGAATGACACCAAGCTATGAACTTGGGAAATAATAAGTCTTTGAGAGATTCAGCCTCAAAGAGGTATTTGAATTAGGAACCTAAGTGTGCTGTGGCCTTTATTCTTTGGTTTGTGGGGTTTTTTTGTGTGAGACATAAACTTGCCTGTGCCTCTGAAACAAATGCACAGATATAACTGGGCCCTGCGTGATATGAATTTGTGTTGCTGCTTTCATTCTTTCTACTCTCAATTGTCATTCTGCCTACTGTATGCTAGCAACTGCTGTCACCTTGAACTCTATATTCAGTCCCTTTTTTGAAGCTTATCATTGCCCAGTGTTTTAGTGAATCTTTGAGATTAAGAAATAGGTGTGTGTGCCTTCATATAGCCCAGTTCAGGTCTCCTACTTTGGCAAGTTAGCTAAGTATCAGCTTCAATCTCTTGGTTGTTTATGATAAGCACATAATTTTATGGCCTTCTCTCTGTATGCCTTAGTTACGTGAGCATTTGTCTTTCCTTGGGTTTATTTTATGTGTAACTCTTTCTCATAAACTTTCAGCCTTCTGGCCAGGAGTTAAGACATTTTTCTTGCCTCCTTTCAACCTCTTATGCTTTTGCTACAGGGGATTCCTTTTCCTCCTTGTACAAGATGGAATAACAAAAGACATGCCACCATATGTAGTTTAAAGAAATTCACTGAGAGGTTTACGGACCTTTTTCACATCATTCTCAGACTAGTTTCTGCTTCTTGCTTTTTGCTGTACCTCTGCGTGTCTAGCTACCGACTGCTTTGTTCTTGCCCTGTGTCCCTCCCATCTCCCTTGAGTGGATTGCCCTTGTGGTTTTTAATCTGGATGGGCTACTTCTCATATCATGCTTATTCTGTTGATCCTGCTTTAAGTGAGAGCTTACTGCTTTATCTAGACTTGAGAAGGCCATGAAACTCCTTAAATCAAGCCTTGTGCTGTTAGTAAAAAAAAAAAAAAGCTGTAAGCAGGTGACTGTGTAGCTTTTAAGTGAAGTCTTAGGTTATGGATAGGATTTTCTGTGGGATGTAGGAATGAGTGAGAGGTAAATCCCCGTGATTTCAGAAGAGTAGAAAAAGACTTTAAATTGGAAAAGTAGAAAATAAAGCAGCGAAGTTGCTGTTGGTCAGATAAATTTAGGTTGTTTTGTCAAAGGAAAAAGAATTCCAGATAATAAATCCCTCTTCGTTGGTTATACTTACGTATTAATGTTTTGCCTGCTTTGAAGACATAACTATTAAAATAGTAATAGGGGGCTAAAATAGCACTAGGCTAAATTACTAGCCCTGTGTTCATTGTGAGCTTAGTGTATCCTCTTTACTGTGTTTAGGTTAAGAAACTCATGATACAGTACCAGACTAACACAGCTGTAGTGGTTCCTGTGTCCAGGCAGGGTAGCTTGTGTATCCCTGCATAACGCAGTAGTCTAATCTTGGTTTATTAGATGACTCTTATTCTCTACAGTATGTCTTCTAGTAACTTCAGTTCAACACTGTTCTCCAGTGATGAAAGCATTACTGATAAAGCACAGGACTGTCTACTGAATCCCTCTGCAAAATTACTTCCAGTGTGACACTACCATGGAAAAGAAAAAAACATGCAGCATTTGAGCAGGGAGGTGATCCTGCAAGTAGTGTTTCTTATTACTCATTATAGTTGCTTGGTTTCTTATTAAAAATCAGATGCATCTCATGAAACACACAGTACTGTAGGGAAGAAGATTCAGGACTTCGTGATTCACCATTAGGGCTAACTAGGGGGTTTTAAATGTATTCCACAAAACTTGTACAGAACCGGCTGCCCAGTGTGTCATTCAGGATTACGCACCGTAATCCATAGATAGTGCAAACCCTAACTTTCTCTCATGCATAAGGGAAACTGAATTGTTCAAGGAAGTAGAAAAGATTTCTTGGGACATTAAAAATAGGAGTTGGTTCACTTCTGTTTTCCATACAATTTCTGGTGTGATAATGTTTTACAAATCAAGGCTGAAGTATGCAAATTGAAGTTTAAATGGCCGTTTTCAGGATGTTAAACGTTTGTGATCTTCTGAAGTGCAAACAGCTGCCTTTATCTCAAGGGCAATTAATGTATTCAGCCATTATTGTTATTATCAGGGGTTAATTAATTTTACAGTTTTTAATAACAGCAAGTTTCTTTAACTTTTTTTCCCTGATGAAAAGATGCAACATGCGGTTTTGACCTTGTCAGGTGCAGGAATCCTAATCAATATATCGTTGCTGGTGGTTCTTGAGGATTCATCGTGGATACGTGTGCATGCACATGCCCCAACAGCTGAAGTCTGCCGGAAAGCAGTTTGTGCTGCCTGCAGTGCCCAGGAACACACATGAGGGTTTTATTAAGAAATTTAATACTAGTAAATATTTTCCGTCTGTTTCTTTGGGAATCTTTTAGACCTCTGGCTGTTAATCCTTGTCCCACTTCTTGGGGAAAATCTATTTTGCTTTTAAGTGCTTTATTTATAATCAGCTTATTCAGAATTAATCTCCATGCCCATCTGCAGGTTCTTGACAGGCTGGTAATTTCTCTTCTATCTCAGTCTCGTGCCCAGAGGAATCGCACAATTGCAGCTACTAAAATCCTGGTTGTTTTCAGGAAATGTAAAATTGCCACAGGAAAATAACATTAAGCATTAAACCAGAGATATTAACGTTAGGTAACTGTTGAGGAAAAATGAATTTTACAGATAAGATCTTGTAGCCATTTAGCCATGCCAAGCTTCAGTGTTCTGTGTGTTTCAGCACCCAGTTCTGTGTATTTAAAAAAGATAAATAACAAAACCAAAAAGAGCAAACGCAAAGAAATGGAGTGAACATGATGGCATGTTGTCCTACAGCTGTATTTCTTGTGGTATTGCTTTTTAGTTTCCTTAATGCGAGAAGATGGTGAGAAGGGTTATCTGTTGACAGACATTCAGTGGTATCATGAAATGCAAGTATGCAAGAAGAAAGCTTTTCAAGCTTTTTAAACGCTCAGACTTTCTTCACTTTTAATTGTGCAGAGGGACTCTGTAGTCATGGCTCGCTCCTGTATTTCATTGCACATTTGTATCTTCCTCACTAGAGATACTAGTTTGAGCATTTTAAATGTTTTGTAAACATTTAATAATCCTTTATGCCAGTAAGATTTCAGATTTCCTCTTTTCACCCAGATTCCATATTGTTAGGGGAGGTCCTAATTCTCCAGAGTCACTCTGATAATTAGTGGAAGAGCTGGAAATGGTCTCCTTCTTTCCATCTTCAGTTTTTTGACTTGTGTACACTCCTTTTGCATCACAGTGATTCTTCGGTCAGTGTGAAATGAGGATAGCTGAGAGGTGTACATGTGTCTGGTGCTTTGCTGTTTTATTGACCCTGGTCAGAGGTGTTGCTGGTTTGGAGACTGAACAAGCAAGCCTTTGGGAAAGGTTCTGTTCCCGTTAAGTTTTGGGAATCTAGATCAGCATTTGAGATTGTCTTCCCCACAGACCCCTTGCCCAAAGCCAGTGTGTGCTCCTCCTCCCTCAACAGCTGATGCTTATGCATATGTGTAGCAGCTGTGTTTTCATTTGGTGTATGGAGTCTAGCACTGTTGATGTGCTACGCAATCCCTCCTGATAAATCCAAAGAGCCTAAGTGTACAGGGTAATAGCCAAAGAGCTGTGGTTGGTTCAGAGCCCATTACTTTGGTTTTATTGTTTTCCTGTGCACTTGTAGAGAGATGAAGCAGCAAGACAAAAGTTAAAAGATGAAGTTGTAGGAGGTGAATGGCACCTGTTCTGTTCTTTCTCAGTGGTAAGACCAACTTCAGTATTTAGCAACTCACGCTCTTCAGTGAAATCTGCTGGTGCCAGGTTAACAGATCTTGTTGTTAACGAGCAGTGTGACTGTCAAGTGTTTCTGACCATTGGGAATTCTGTGGTACAGCCTTCTGAGAGAGCTTACGAGATGTGTTTGTCAAACACTTGGTGGTTGTGTGTAATCGAGCGTGTTTTGCTTACTGGTGATCTCCTTCTCCCTCTGATTGTAGGATGATAAAGTTAAATCTCTTCTCCTGAAGTTGTTCTGCTGTAACAGACTGACAGCTGAGCAGGTGCTGAGGGATGATTGCTTCCTTGCAGTTGATGCGATTCCAGTTTCACTACAACCAAGTGAAGAGCGTGAGCCATCTGAAGAACATGATTCTGAGAAGACAGATGAAAAAAAACCTCTCAACAATTAACTGAGGAGGTTGGAGCAAACCCTGCTCAATAGATGAGGAACTTTTCCATCAGGTGTTTGAGCCTGCTGTTTTTGTTTGTCCTGATCTGCAGTGTCAAGTTACGAAAGGTTTGGTAGGTGCAGGCATGTTTTGTGATTACACACTTGCAAGTACAGTTTATTCTCAAGTGTTTGGGGTTACGAGTGCGATGTTACTGATTGTGTTCTTAGTTTGTCAGCATTTTTCTTTGTGTTATGTAGGCTTTAAATTTACAGACAATTGTCTTCGATGCCAGAGGTCTTTTAAGATGAAGCTTTAGTGACTTGTTTTTGTATCTGGTTTTCTATTCCTCTTCTTGATGTGATTCCAGATAACATGTTCCTCTTTAAGATGCTCTAGGGTATTACCTTTTTGCTGGAGTGTTTCTGTTATTGCATAGACAAGTTGTTCCTACAGCAAGTGCCTTCAAGACTTAAGGGGGGAAAAAAGAAGCACTACTACTTTGACAACTGGTAGAGGAAGTGGAGAGCAGCATGCCTCTTCTCCCTCTGTCTGCATCTGAAAAATGCAATTGGCTTTATAGAGGGCAGGCATCCTTCTACTTAGTCCTTCGCAGTGCTGCTGCCAACCAGAACACTATATTCATGGGTTTGCAAAAACTACTGCTTATGTCCTCTACCTAAGCGTGCGTATGTATCGTCTGTTCTTAAATGGTGTTCACAGTAGCTGTAAGGGTGTGATTTTCCTGAGTGGGTTTGTTTGCCTGCAACACTTTGCTGTCAATGCTACCACCAAAAGAGTTTTGTCAGGTCTTTACTTTTCACGAAATTGTTGTTTATGGAGGATTTTCCTTCTCAGAAAGAAATAGGTCAAAACGTGCAGAGTTGCTGTAGTGATATATTTAGCCTCTGGGTGTTGCTCTTGGACAGCGCTGCTGGCAGACTGGTATTTTGTAGAGGAATTACTGAAGCCGCATGTTGGCGGGTGAAGAATGTAAAGATGCAGCATGTAAGGGGCAAGAAGCAGTGCTAGGGGAATTGGGGAGCCCTCAGGTACTATAATACAGTCCATGGTGCATAGAAGGTACTGCCTTGGTACAGATCCACCTCTGAGATCAACCTTGGTTTTCCATCCTTAAACCAATTAGTTTTTTATGTGGAATAGCATATAAGATGTTTCATCCTTTTTTTCATTAAATAATAATGATTTTTTTTAAAATTTCTGTAATGTGTGTATAACCAATGATAGCAAAACCTTTGTCAAATATTTTTATGTAGAATTTTTGATTAGTGTGATAGATATTTTCATTACAGAAATTGTAAAAGAATAACACTTTGGTTTTTGTCAATGAAAATAAACAGTTCAGCAGTTGTGTGGGATGCTTTCCAAATACTGATTGCAGTCTTTCACTGTTAATAAAATTATAACTCTTAATTAAATGTTGAAAACTGAGTGGAGATTAGAAGACTAACCTGGTGGTTTGTGGTGTGCTGTGTCATCTATAGTGGAACAAATTTTTGCCCAGTTTTACTGCTCCAGAGTCCGTGCAACCTAAAGTGTACTTCTTAAATGCCCAGGTTGCCAACCTTCTTGTTTTTCTGAAACCAGAAGTCTCTCTGTATGCTTGAATTAAAAAAAAAAAAAAAAAAAGGCAGTCTCTTAAAAATCTCTACTTTGACCTTTTCTATGATAATTTTGTAGTTCTAGCTTTCTTTACATTTCTTACTTGCCAGAGGCGTTAAGAAAACAGGTTGGTTCAGGGTCATGTTGCACAGCTATCCTGCCAAAGGTGGACGCTAATCCATGGTAATGGACTGCCTGCTGTTTTGTTTGAGACCTGCCTTTTGCAACTGCATCTCTGCTGGCTTAGAAGATGGGTACTTGGAGATTAGAGAATGGAGGTTGGAATGATCCTGCAGGAATGGTCTGTCTCCTTACTCGGTTGCTGCTTCTAAGAAGCCCAAACAAAACTTACCTTGCTGTTCCTAGGTATCAGCATTCTGGAGTTTTGAGCAGTGTCCTTGCACAGACCAGGTTGCTGGAGGACACTCATGGGCTGAGTGTTGCTTCTTCAGGAAGTCAGGAGTTCAGCTGCTGTCATGGGCCCAAGACATTCCTATCTTCTGTGGCCTCTAATGGTAAGTCTGCAGTTCCAGGTCTTGGTGCCGACAACTTCCTTTCATGAGGACCGTGACCCTTGTTACTTACCTCAGGTTGGTGTTCTCTCTGCCCTCCTCACCTCTGCATCCACCAGTCCTGTGTTGGCATCAGTCCCAGCCTTTGCTCCACACGTCCTACCCAGGTCAGCTGCTCCAGCTGCCTTCTGGGCTGTAGATGTAGGAGCAAAGTCTGTAAGGGGAAATGCCTTCTTCAGGCACCTGCAGAATTCCTGAGGCTCTACCTAACCTAGTCTTCAGCCCTGGGATAGGGTTGGGTTTTTTTGGGAAGAGGAGTTCTTTCAGCAGATTGGGAGAATATTTCTTACCCCTGTGGTTTGGGTGGAGCTGTGGGAACTGCTCCTTTCTGAATGCTGCAGCTCCCATCACTTCTGGAGCCTCTTGCTGTTTTGTTTGCTGCCTCATAACCTTCATGCCTACCCTAACATCCGTAATGATGTGACTGCATCTTTCCATGCGGTTTGCTGCTCGCTCCATTAGTGTTCAACACTTCTTCCCATGTAGTTTAGAGAGGGGTGGTTTTTTCACTCTAAAGTTGCTTTCTGTTAGTACAGAGTCTTTTTTTATCTGTGCTCACTAGTACTTTAACAATTTTTTCCCTGGTTTTGGCTGCAAGTTTGTATAGCCTGCAGGTTAAATGATACTCCTTCATAGGCAACTGCCTCAAGGCCTTCTCTTAAATGGGCTAAGACTTGCTTCATCTGCAGTCACTTAATTTCTCCAACTTAGGAGGAAATTGGTATGATTTCATCCTCGTTTCAGGTTGGGAGTCTAGTAGTTTGCAAGCTGCTGGCTTTCTAGACGGTGGTGGATGTTTGAGAGCCAGATCTTCAGTTGTGCAATTTAAAACAGTGGTGAAAACCTCCCTGATTTCTGTGTGTGTGCTGATGGGCACTGAGGTTGGGCACTGTGCCACATTGCAGCTCCTGCAGTAGTTTTCCTCAGATGTGTGTTTTTTCACGGCAGACACATTTTGGCTTCATAGGCTGAAAACAGTTGTCCAATTGTCCTGCCGGATTGTGGACAGATCTGCTGTTACAACGTGGAATTCTGTTCTTTTAGGGCCAGTCTGTGCTGTGGTAGGGGCACATGGGCTCAGGTGGTGAAATTGGCTCTTGGCAGCTTTGGGTTCAGGGGCTGCGATGCATCGTGATCACACCACGTAAAAGCATCTGTGTGAGTTAAAACCATTTGAATTTGATTATTTTCTTTAATATACTTCACACAGACGCCAGACAAAAGGTGTAATAGTGCTAGAGCTGCAAGGTACGTTACCAATAGGTGGATAGAATCAATGTTTGCCTTGTTGAGTGAAGATGTGATGTTGGTTTGTGTTTGTTGCCCTTCTGCATTACTCGTAGCTGGTTAACTGCGGCCTAGGGATGGGACCCCCTTCCACTTGCTGTCCAGTAGAGCTGGGAAAGCTTGCCAAAATACCCTGTCATTTATTTCTTCACTTGTGAACATCCAGCTATTTAACTTTGCTGCGATCTTAACAGTTGGTAGCATCATCAAACAGACTCGATTTGTTCTGTCTCATCTCGACAGTCTCAGTGTGGACCAGAAGTTTTTGGTATCCTGAGTTTGGTGTTAAAAGTTTAACCTGTCAACTTAGCATCCCTCTGGCTTCTTTATGATCTTTTCCAACTCTATGGCCTGGTGTTTCAGCCAAGCAGAAAGCTGTACAGCCTGGTGTCCATGTACTGGGGTCTGGCAGACTTGGCATCTCTGGAGAAAGAGTCCTTGTTTGAAGTGGAAGAAGGTGGTGGATGCAAGCCTTGGGGATTTGAGATGCAAGATACTGTTCCTCGAGGTGACTCAACAGCAGGTTTTGCCCTTCCCAGTGGTGTCTTGGATTCTCTGTTCTCCCAGGCCTAGGATGCCTGTGATGTTGACGTGCATGTTGTGGCCTTGCAGTCAGTACATGGTTGCGTGTAGCTAGTTCCAAGGGCTGAGGAAACATTCATAATGTTCTCTCCATCACTTGCCATGTCCTCCATGCATTGCTGCAGCTTCCCTTTCTAACAGACTCCTTGAGGACTTTCCTTCTGTTCCCTGTCCTTGCTCTGGTAATAAGGCTTCCTTGTTGCTCTTAAAGACTGTTGTGGTATTACTAGAACCTGAAAAGCTGTGAAGCACAAATTCTTAGTAGTGATGCCATATGCACCTTGCGGTGGGTTAAGTTACTGCTTGCTCCCCCACCTTGCCCTGCCAAGGCAGGAGTAGAGGAGACACAGGGACACTTCTTAAAGGAGAATGAGAATTATGTACCCAGTAGATGGTCTTTCCAGTGTCCTGAGGTTCAGTAGGTGAATTTTAAGTGGTAGTTAGCACACTTCAAATTTTTATGCTGTGTTTGCGTGAACTGTGGTAAATTGCAAGCTGTGCGAGTCCCACCAACTGAAACACTGAACAAACATGCAAGAAGCCTTGTGCAACGCAAAAGTCACGTACAATGTAAGTGTGTAGCCAGCACAACCCAGAATTTCTTTGGCTACAAGTATCTCACTTGGAAGTTTACAGAATTGGTTCAGTTTCCCTCAGGAGAGAAACCAAGAGAATTCCTTTGGAGCAAATTGATTGAATATGCTTTGGTCCAGCTACTGTGATGAAAACCAGGTGGATACTCCAAAGTAAAAGCCTGCTGACCATGATATCAGGAGGTGCAGGAGGATGCTGCTGGAATTGGAAGTAGTTTTATTTGGGAAACTTCCCCCCTGCCCACCCTCCTCAATAGAACTTCATTTGAAGTTGAAGTCTGCTGTTGGGGAAATGCACAGCTGTTCCACAGCAACTAATTTAAGGTAACTGTCAAAATGACAATTCCACAAAAGCAATGCCACC